TGAAGCATGCCAAGGGATTGTTTAAGCGGCCCAGAAGAAGCCATTGATGTGTGGCCTTGGGGTGGCTGTTGGCTGCAGGATGAAGCATGCCAAGTCAGCGTTTTAAGGTTTTTAAGGGTTTGGAGCGTTTGGAGCGTTTGGAGGGTTTTAAGGGTTTAAGGGCTGGCAAACGGCAGGCTTGGACGCCCATAAGAAGCCATTGATGTGTGGCCTTGGGGGAGGGTTGCCAAGTCAGCGTTTTAAGGTTTTTAAGGGTTTGGAGCGTTTGGAGGGTTTGGAGGGTTTAAGGGCTGGCAAACGGCAGGCTTGGACGCCCATAAGAAGCCATTGATGTGTGGCCTTGAGGGAGGGTTGCCAAGTCAGCGTTTTTTAAGGGTTTTAAGGTTTTTAAGGGTTTGGAGCGTTTGGAGGGTTTGGAGGGTTTAAGGGCTGGCAAACGGCAGGCTTGGACGCCCCTAAGAAGCCATTGATGTGTGGCCTTGGGGTGCCTGTTGGCTGCAGGATGAAGCATGCCAAGGGATTGTTTAAGCGGCCCATAAGAAGCCATTGATGTGTGGCCTCGGGGTGGCTGTTGGGCTTGCAGGATGAAGCATGCCAAGTCAGCGTTGTAAGGGTTTCCCAAAGCATTGGGGGAGGGTTGCCAAGTCAGCGTTTTAATGGTTTTAAGGTTTTTAAGGGTTTGGAGCGTTTGGAGGGTTTGGAAGGTTTAAGGGCTGGCAAACGGCAGGCTTGGACGCCCATAAGAAGCCATTGATGTGTGGCCTTGTGGAGGGTTGCCAAGTCAGCGTTTTAAGGGTTTTAAGGTTTTTAAGGGTTTGGAGCGTTTGGAGGGTTTGGAGGGTTTGGAGGGTTTAAGGGCTGGCAAACGGCAGGCTTGGACGCCCATAAGAAGCCATTGATGTGTGGCCTTGGGGTGCCTGTTGGCTGCAGGATGAAGCATGCCAAGGGATTGTTGAAGCGGCCCATAAGAAGCCATTGATGTGTGGCCTTGGGGGAGGGTTGCCAAGTCAGCGTTTAAGGGTTTTAAGGTTTTTAAGGGTTTGGAGCGTTTGGAGGGTTTGGAGGGTTTGGAGGGTTTAAGGGCTGGCAAACGGCAGGCTTGGACGCCCATAAGAAGCCATTGATGTGTGGCCTTGGGGAAGGGTTGCCAAGTCAGCGTTTTAAGGGTTTTAAGGTTTTGAAGGGTTTGGAGCGCTTGGAGGGTTTGGAGGGTTTGGAGGGTTTAAGGGCTGGCAAACGGCAGGCTTGGACGCCCATAAGAAGCCATTGATGTGTGGCCTTGGGGTGCCTGTTGGCTGCAGGATGAAGCATGCCAAGGGATTGTTTAAGCGGCCCAGAAGAAGCCATTGATGTGTGGCCTCGGGGTAGCTGTTGGCTGCAGGATGAAGCATGCCAAGTCAGCGTCTTAAGGGTTTCCCAAAGCATGTAATTTTCATGTCCAAATGCCTGGAAGTCTGAACTGGAGGACGAAGCATGGCAGGAAAATGTTTACGCGATGTGGCCTTGGGGCAGCTTGCTGGCTGCGAGATGGGTTTGACCTTGGAAAGCCCATAAGAAGCCATTGATGTGTGGCCTTGGGGTGCCTGTTGGCTGCAGGATGAAGCATGCCAAGGGATTGTTTAAGCGGCCCATAAGAAGCCATTGATGTGTGGCCTCGGGGTGGCTGTTGGCTGCAGGATGAGGCATTCATGTCCAAATGCCTGGAAGTCTGAACTGGAGGACGAAGCATGGCAGGAAAATGTTTACGCGATGTGGCCTTGGGGCAGCTTGCTGGCTGCGAGATGGGTTTGACCTTGGAAAGCCCATAAGAAGCCATTGATGTGTGGCCTTGGGGTGCCTGTTGGCTGCAGGATGAAGCATGCCAAGGGATTGTTTAAGCGGCCCATAAGAAGCCATTGATGTGTGGCCTCGGGGTGGCTGTTGGCTGCAGGATGAGGCATTCATGTCCAAATGCCTGGAAGTCTTAACTGGAGGACGAAGCATGTCAGGAAAATGTTTACGCGATGTGGCCTTGGGGCAGCTTGCTGGCTGCGAGATGGGTTTGACCTTGGAAAGCGCAGAAGGAGAAGTTCCACACCTGCGGTGGTCCCAGGCGCCGCCCCTGCCTTGGCCAAGGCCGGGGTCGGCGGATATTATCGGAATCCCAAGAGTGCAACCCCGGATCTGGAAAACAGAGTACTCCAATGGTCAAACAGGTCCAACAGGTTGAATGCGGTTGAATGCGGTTGAATCATGTAGAATGCATACCGCTGAAGGAACACGGTGATCGTGGACGACACGGTAGATGTTTGCCGAGCGAATCCAAACAATTCAATTCAATGCAGCCGTCTCTTGGCCGAGATCCGAAGAGACATGAAGACATGAAGACATGAAGAGACAGAAATCAAAGAAGTCATTCGATGTCACGATGTCCTGCCGGCCGTGATGATGCACCGAGTAGGCTGATGGGAAATCCATGGAAATCCTGCACTGAGCATCTCAGTTTTTATGTGACCTTACCATGACATGTGACCATCTACGGCGAATCTACGGAGAGGTGCAAGGAAGTGGATGAAGTGGATGTGATCGATTGGATCATTCAGAGACCGGATTCTCAGAGGTTCTAGTTATTCTAGTTGTTTCACTCTGAAATAGCGAGTCGTCGCCGCATTTCCAGGTGGATAGGAACCAGCATCAAGCTTTCATATTCGGCTCATGGAAAGAGATAAGGTGCATGTGGGATTATGCAGTTTGAACCATCAGCTGGTTTCCTGAATAAATTGTGTGCCAAACGAAATCAAACTCTTCTTGAACTGGATGTGTGGGCATCATTGGGCATCCATGGGCCGAGGTTACTATTGCAAGGACCACTCGACAGATGAAGAGTTGATCCGTTTGGCCAAATACCTCAAACACCTGGCGCAACTGGGGCGCCCAGAACTGAATACGGGCCACCAGCGTTGGCGGGAGAACGTGACACTTGGCGATTCGTGGAACTACGAATGGCACATGGGATGGAGACCTGGTGACCGTGAACCGTTCTAAACCGAGTCTAAACCCCTCAAAAAATGTGCGGCTTCCCCGGATGATTTGAGAAAATGTTTTTTGTTCGCAACCACTTCCAGACTTTCCTTCTCCTTGCGGGTGAAACCCAATTGACAGTCGGACGTTGCTGAGTTCTCAGCATCGAAGCTGCGACGATGTTTTGAATTCTGAGTGGTGAAACAATAAACCAAGAGTTTGGTTCCAAATGTTATGCAAACAACTTGGATAGCTGAACACACCCCATGCTCTGGATATTTCATTCTTGAGTTATACTCTGGACCCATAGCTTTACATGTGTTTATCATGGGTTATCAAAGAATTAGGTATATCAGTAAGAAAAACAGCGGTTGATCATCATCTTCCATGATCTTCCATTATCTTCCATCATGCCGATTAAATGGCCATTTGGTGTGCTTCACCCCACCTGCCTTCTGAGGTCCAGCTAGCAGCTTCGACCAACTGCTTCGGCCAACAAAAATGGCGGCCTGCAATATGGTGAAAGGGCTTTGTTCACTTAGACATATTTAAACCACATAGGTTGTTGATCATTCTATTTCCATTTATTCATATATTTATTCTGTCTCCTATTTCCGGTAGAAAAATTAGAGAAAATGATTCTTTCTCAGTCCAAATCTCGCCTGTTCAACTGAGTTCACCGGTCGACGACACCCGTGCCTGTCCAGCCAGGTGTCCTGGGCCCATCCACGCTTCGGCCATTTGCTGGCCACTGCAGGTGGAGCATGGTGGAGCCATGAAGACGAAAATCGATCAAAATAAGGCCCAAACAAGGAAACCCAAGAATAAATAGAATAAATGAAAGAAAACTATAGAAAACTAAGAAAACTCATATCCAAATCAACTTTTGTGGTTCAGACCGACTTCCAGCTGAAGCCCTTTCACTCGATTCACGGGGTTGAAAGAGTCCAAACTCACAAACTGATTTTATCGGGTGAATCGCATAGAGTTTATCTTAAAAAATCATCAAACATCGTCAGCTATCCCTGACCTTGGGGTTCATCCTTGGCCTCTTTTTGCTGGTCTGGACCAATCCTTCCAGCTTGCATGTGGTTGTTTCAAATCGTCTTGGTACTTCATCTTTCTTTGGAATATGACTTGAACTTTCTAATGCCTCTGTTAGTTTACACCACTAAGCAAACACAAACCCTAGTGAGGGCGTCAGACTGCCCCTGCAACATCTTGTGCACGCGACATTTCATTCAATTTGTATTTACTGGGTTTTGTTAGTAATAATTCTGGTATTGATATGGGTACATGGTATCCCTGTGTTCATATCAGTTTAGGCGGAATAGTCAGCATAGCCTCATGGTCATTCTCGAATTGTGACAGGTTGCCAGTTAATCTTTTGTCAAACTCTTGTCGTGTGGTCCTTCCGGCACCCGAAGCAGGCTACGACATGAAAGTCATCATTTGGAAAGAGGACATTCCCTCAGCATGTGGATCAGTTGGTATCAGCAAGTTTTTTCGCTGACTTGCAGCCAGAAAACCTCATCCAGACCCTCAAGGATCATAGTCTAATATAGTGTGTCATAGCGGTTTCTCGATGGTTACAGTCATCTTTTATCATCTTTTGATTCAATTGATGATAAACCCACGTTAAAGCCCAATTCCGCCAATTCTTACACCATTTCTCATACCATTTACAATGATCCAGTCCATATTTGCCAATTGTGAGGAGCGTGGGCAATGGGTCATGGCCTATGTGGATAGCAACCACGGTGCTTCTGTGAATGACGTAGAGTCCCTTGGATGAAACCTCTCGTTACGTCAGGATACGTCAGGGATGTCCAGGGATGTCCAGGGATGTCCAGGGTCACCGGTCTATACGTTCCAACAGCATCTTTTCAGTTCAAGAAGTATTTGCTGTTGGGTTTTTGATGGTGATTGATGGTTATTATAAGTTATTGCTTATAACTTATAATCTCTCCCTGCTGTTTACCACTGTTTACCAGGTCATTTGGCTAAGAGCCATTGTAAAGTCATGTGTTTCTCCCTCTATTCTTAGATATTGTTCCATGGTTTCCCCATTGTATTTTCCACAGGTTTTTCCCCTATTTGCTGATTTGTCCAAGGGAAATATGGGTTTGTCTGAAAAGAAGGTACCCCGAAATCTTGATGGTAGATCGGTTGATCATCGTTCAGATGGTCCATATCCCGAAACTGTAAAGGACCATCAATTTGGGATCCCCATCGATATCATCGATAGATATATAAAGATATATGGCTGTGTCTTTTTTTAACGTGCGCAGATTTTAGTAAAGGCAGGAAGTTCGATTTGTGCGAATCTTACCCCCGAATCATACCCTGAATCATACCCCCGAGATCATATCCGATTATCTATCTTATATCTGATTCATTTATCTATCAGGTTATCCCAGAGAGATCATATCTCGAAAGGTAGCGGTGAGCTACCTGAGTTCCCCCTTGCGTAGCAAGTATTAGGGGGCGAGCGGTGCAAGTGCAAGAGTTTGGGCCGGTTATGTCTCGGTCCGCCTTTCAAGGGGGGGGGGGGCCCTGTTTTTGTTTCGACCTAATACCTACATAGGTACATGCATGAGTATTGAGCACATTTATATGCGCCCCTCAAGAAAGAGGTATATAGAGTAACCCTGTAGACAAGCACAGACCGGCAACAGGCTGAGTAAAACAAGTGCTGTCATTGGGGAAGACGCCTTAGCTGATCTTGAAGTAGACGCTAGGGCCCCTCTTCAAGTGGTAGCGGAGCTGTGATCCCTCATTGAGGGTGAGCTCCAGGTAGAGCCCAAGAAATGGCAAGCCATGGCTATGATGATGATGACTTCGACATTGTCGATGCAAATGAATGGAACCAATATGACTCTTATGCAATGAGAAGAGCACCCCAGCAAACACAGATTCATATGACGCAACAGATGACCACAAAGGTTGCTCCAGCCTATGATGGGCGAACCAGCTTCTTTGCTTTTGAGGATGCAATTGATGACTGGTGTGACATTACGGAGTTAGAACCAGAGAAACGTGGTCCAGCATTGCGCAACAGACTGGAAGGAGATGCTCAACAATACAAGAGGCTATTGGATAGAGAATTACTCAGGGATCCCTATGAAGGAGTGGCTTATTTCAAAAGATTTCTACGACCTCATTTCATCAAAGGTGCCCAGAACGTGTTCTTATACCGTTTCATGCAGTTCATGAAGTTCAACAGAGGAACCATATGGATCTTCAGAAGTGGATGACTAGATTTCAACTCACTGGCAATAGACTTATTGAGTCTTGGATGGATTTACTTCCAGAAGTAACAGTGACTAGTCCTGAAGCAATCCTGTTTGTTCAACAACGACGTCAAGAACATGAACGAGATCAACAAGAGAGAGCTGAAGTAGCAGCAGCCTCAGGAACACCCCATGTAGCTGTTCCTTGGACAGATGAACTGGCACTAGCGGCATTCAGACTATTTCAGGAAAATCGTAGAGAAGCACAGCGACAAGCATTCCCACTGGGTGAAAATTTGCTAGCATTGATTTTTGTAAGTCTAGCTGACCTGAGTCAAGATCAGAGAAACACACTCACAAGTATCATGACACATCGTGGACGAACCCTCGCTCGATACAGTATTCAAGAACTACGTGACCTGTTTTTGGAAATGTTTTGCACTACCAAAACAGCAGTTGACAATCCATTGATGCAACCCTCTGGCATGGCACAGAGAAGATCTTTCCTCGTACTGGATGAAGGTGAATTAGAAGGAACCGACGGCTATTGGGCCGAAGATGAAGAAGACGGCGCGGAAGGATTCCTGGATGCTTTAGAAGATGTTTTCTGGGTTTATGATGACGCCAACTTCACATGGTATCAGAGAAGGTTCCAAGGCAAATACATCAGACGAGGCAAAGGTAAAGGAAAGAGAAAAGGAAAAGGAAAAGGCAGAGGAGGACGAAGGTTCTTCAGATCAAGGAAAGGAAAAGGCCGAGGAAAAGGAAGAAAGAAAGGCCGCTCTCACATGGTGAGTGAAGAAGGTTATGAAGATGAATGGCAAGAAGATGAATGGAATGAAAACTATGACGGCTATTGGGCCGATGATCAAACCTGGAATGAAGGCTATTGGGCCTATGATGATTCATACTACATGGATGAGTATGGATACTTCCAGAGAAAGGAAAAGGAAAAGGAAAAGGAAAGAAAGGCAAGAAAGGCAAGGATGATGATGGAAAAGGAGGAAAGCCAGGAGATGGAAAAGGCAAGTCGAACTATGTTCAACCTCAGACCACATCAGCTCCTGCCATACAGAATCAACAAACTCAACAAGCTCATTATTCTTCTGCAGCTTCAAGTTCTGGTCATGGTTTCTTTTCATTTGGAACAACTGAACCAGCACGTGTTGATGTTGCAGAGACAGAGCCAGCTCGTGTTGATGTTTTGACATCCACGTATGCAGCACAAGATGAACAACGACGTACTCGTCGTGGAGGACAGAACCAACGTGATGCAAGAGCACATCAAAACAGGAGAGAAAGGAAGAGATTCCCTGTTCTGGTTGGAGAAGTTGGTGCACTACGACAAGGTGTACAACAACGTCCAGCTGTAGTGCCCAGGCAAGTTGGTCTTCAAGAAGGTGAGGCTTCATGGAAGCCATTGGCAGAAGGCACATCATTGTTTTCATATGGATGCTCTACAGAGATAGAGGAACCATCACAGCAGAGTGCTTTTTCATTTCATACTGTACAAACTGATCTGGCATGTGAGAATGGACTAGCTTTTCACACAGAGAATTCTGCACCACCAACTGTGTGCATTCTGGATCTTGGATGCACAAGAGCTATGGGCTCTCGACGAGCAGTTGAAGCATTTTGCAGATACGTTGACTCACATCCCAACAGTGGACTCTGGTATGAATTCCAGCCAACAAGTTCAAGATTCTTCTTTGCAAATTCACAACAATCAAAATGTACTGAGAAGCTCGTGATATTCATGTATGATCATGGATGGAACACTCAGTTTACAGAATTCGACATTGTCGAAGAAGGTGATGTCCCATTGTTGATGTCACTTCCACAGATGAGAAACCTTGGATTTCAATTTGAACTTACTCCAGAGAAGGCCTTTTTGTCCTGTGCACGTATTGGCATGAGAAAAATGGTTTTGAGGACAGCCATCAGTACTCATCTCATTCTCGACCTACAAGATGTAGCATGGTACATGAGCCAAGTTCATTTCAAGACTCCACAAGTCAAGAGTTTCTATTCACAACACGATCACTTTGAGTACAGTCAGATTGCTGTCAAACAAGATGATCATGAAGGAGAAGCTTTGGTGACTGGTGACTACTGGCAGGTTGATCCACTACGTCGTGAACTCATCAGGCACCACAAGGACAAGAGAATGAACTTACATGAGATGACTCGATCAGAGAAAACTCCAATTCCAAAAGATCAACTTCTTGATGAGAGAGAAACCCACATGGAATTCCAGAAGAGCAAGAAG